GGCAACTTGAAGATGTCCGGACTTCAACTCCCAGAATTCTGGGAGTTGAAGTCCAGACATCTTCAAGTTGCTAAGGTTGAGAAACACTGCTCTAGGCAGATCAGATAAGTGATTTTTAATTATTTTTTTTCTTGCAACCTCTCTTCCAATGTTTTCCTTTTTTTTTTCTTTTTTTAAAAAAGAGAGAGATTAGGGTCTTTTCTATGTCCAGGAGAAGAAAATTAAATCCCTGTCTCTCTAATTTGTATGTAGAATACGATCTTCCTCTAGTGGTGACATGTGTCATATCCATGTTTCCTTCATTCTTATTTGGATGGTGTGAGAACACTCAGAAAAGATCCTTGGCTAAGAATCAGGATAACAGCAGCTTACATAATCTGTGTTGCATTTGGGTGCAAATAAATATTATGTTTCGGCACAACTACACAAATATCACTTGGTTTTTATCTAGTTCACAATCTGATAGTGTGTCACTAGGGGGCAGTATTGGATCACGCTTGTCTGGTTTCAGAAGCTAAGCAGGGCCAGTCCTGGTTACAACTTGGATGGGTCTCCTCCAAAGGACTGCAGGGAAACAGCCTGAAAAATGTGAAGAAAAACACTTTCCCTCCCTCCTCAATTTACATAGGTAAAGGTAAAGTTTCCCCTTGCACGTACATGCTAGTCGTTCCCGACTCAAGGGGGCGGTGCTCATCTCTGTTTCTAAGCCGAAGAGCCAGCACTGTCCGAAGACGTCTCTGTGGTCATGTGGCTGGCGTGACTCAATGGCAAAGGCGCATGGAACGCTGTTACCTTCCCACCAAAGGTGGTTCCTATTTTTCTACTTGCATTTTTTACATGCTTAACGGGAGCTCACTCCATTACGCGGCGCTAGGGATTCGAACCACTGAACTGCCGCCCTTTCTGATCAACAAGCTCAGGGCCTTAGCTACTGAGCCACCGCGTCATAGTTTACATAGTCCTTGATTTATAATCTGTCAGTTAGCAACCTTTCAGAATTATGACAGATTCCCCCCCCCCCCAAAAAAAGAGTTACTTATGACCTGATTCTGAAGTTCCAGTGGATGGGAAGTTGGACATGGACGGACGGGCGGACACACACCCTACCTTCCAGTACATGACAACATTTTAGATGCTCAGCAACTGGCCCCCTTTACGACCATTTGCAGCATCACATGACCATTATTATTATTTTTTATTTCTGCTGGAAACTGCCCGCCCAGGCTAGGAAGCTAGTCCTCAAGAACAGTGAGAAATTTGTCTAAAGGGAGAATTCGCCATCCCGAAAGGATTTTTAAAAAGCTACTATTGACCTGCGCTGTAGGATTGAGAAGAAACTTGGCTTGTTGGTTTAATATAACGAGTCTCAATTTCACAAAAGATCGGAGCAGCTGAGAAGGAGGTACAGCAGTGGGGCCTAGTGGTCGCGGATAAATTACGGTGCACACAAAATTGAGACGGAAGACGGATCCGAACTCTTAGCCGGCCCTCATCAGGGTAGAGTTCGGATTGTGGCAGGACAATATTTTAAAAATAAATAAGAGCTGGCCTGGACTGAAGATGGGAAATGTAGAATTTCCCTTTATTGACTGTTTTCACCCAGCACATTAAACCAGGTCACTTCACAAGCCTCGTGCAGCTAGTCCTCAACTTAAAAACGGTTCATTTAGTAACCGAAGTTACCATGGCACTGAAAAAAAAAGACACTTTGGACCGCTGCACGTCTCCCCGCGGTCAAAATGTAGACACTTTGGCAAATGGCGTGCATTTAGGATGGCTGCGGTGTCACGTGATCAGCGGGGGTGGGGTCACATGACACCCCCCCCCTTTCGGACAAGCGAAGTGCACAGGGGGAAGCTGGGTTCACTGAACCACTGTGTCGCTGACTCAACAACTGCAGTGATTCGCTTAACAAATGGGGCAAGAAAGGTCGTAAAACAGGGCAAAGCTCACAACTGTTTTGTTTAGCAATGTGCACCCAGTGCTTGGTTTCTATAACAATATAAGCAAGGGTGAAAATCCAGCAGGTTCTGATAGGTTGTGGAGAACCAGTAGCGGAAATTGTGAGTAGTTCGGAGAACCGGCAAATACCACCTCTGACTAGCCCCAGGAGTGGGGAGGGAATGGGGATTTTGCAGTATCCTTCCCCAGGAGTGGGGAGGGANAACCATCGCCTTGACTATACACATCTTTGTTGGCAGGGTGATGTCTCTGCTTTTTAGGATGCTGTCTAGATTTGCCATCGCTTTCCTCCCCAGGAGCAAGCGTCTTTTGATTTCTTGGCTGCAGTCCTCATCTGCGGTGATCTTGGAGCCCAGGAAAATAAAATCTGAGGGAGATTAGCTACTCCTGTTCCACACAAGGTCAACGCAAGGAGTTTGGAGTCTGGCCTTTTGTCTTGCCCTTCGTTAATTAATTTAAATTAAATCCCTTGCTTCTATGTTTTCTTTGGATTCTGGAGGGCAGAGGTGCTCTCTGTAGGGGCAGAGACACCCCCCCACTTTGCTGGGGAAGAAAGATGACTTTATCTAACAAATGGTCTTCTCGTTGTTTTTTGCTTCCGTGCTCGACAGCCCTACGCGGTGAATGGTTTCATCACTCCACAAAGCAACGTGGATTTTGACTACAGGTTAAGGCGGAGGTGAGCAATGCAAAGTTTGGCCAGGGGAGTGGGTGGGAGGAGTAGAAGTGAAGGGGGGGTATAGGGGGGAGGGGAATGCAAAAAAGTAAAAACGACATTACAACTATGAAGAAATTGCTTTAGGTTGCAGAATTATTATTTTTAATAGGCTAATGATCTCCCTTCCTTCCTTCCCTTCTTCTCCTCTTTCTTCTCCTCTTTCTGTTTTCTTTCCTTCCTTCTTTTCCTCTCTCCCTCCTTCCTTCTTCTCCTCTTTCTGTTTTCCTTCCTTCCTTTCCTCCCTCCTTCCTCCTCTCCTCTCCTTTCTCCTCCTCCTTCTCTTTCCATTTTCCTTCCTTCCTCTGCTTCCTTCTTCTCCTCCTTCTTCTCTTTGTTTTCCTTCCTTTCCTTCTTCTCCTTCTCTTTCTGTTTTCCTTCTTTCCCTCCCTCCCTCCCTCTCCTCCTTTCCCCTTTCTCCTCTTTCCATTTTTCTTCCTTCCTCTTTCTCCTCCTCTTTGTTTTCCTTCCTTCTTCTTCTCTTTTTGTTTTCATTCTTTCTTCTCCTTCTTCTCCTTTCTGTTTTCCTTCCTTCTTTCCCTCCCTCCCTCTCCTCCTCTCCTCTTGCTCCTCTTTCCATTTTCCTTCCTTCCTCTGCTTCTCCTCCTCTTTCTGTTTTCCTTCCTTCCTCCTTCTCCTTCTCTTTTTGTTTTCATTCTTCTCCTTCTTCTCCTCTTTCTGTTTTCCTTCCTTCCTTCTTTCCCTCCCTCCCTCCTTCCTCCTCTCCTCTCCTTTCTCCTCCTTCTTCTCTTTCCATTTTCCTTCCTTCCTCTGCTTCCTTCTTCTTCTCCTTCTTCTTCTCTTTCTGTTTTCCTTCCTTTCCTTCTTCTCCTTCTTCTCTTTATGTTTTCCTTCTTTCCCTCCCTCTCCTCTTTCTCCTCTTTCCATTTTCCTTCCTTCCTCTGCTTCTCCTCCTCTTTCTGTTTTCCTTCCTTCCTTCTTCTCCTTCTCCTCTTTTTGTTTTCATTCTTTCTCCTCCTTCTTCTCTTTCTGTTTTCCTTCCTTCTCCTTCTCTTTCTGTTTTCCTTCCTTCTCCTTCTCTTTCTGTTTTCCTTCCTTCCTTCCTCCCTTCCTCTACCAGCAATCCAGCTTGGGGTCTCAGGGACACCACTGTTCTGCAACAGCTTGCTGAGGCCAACGGGATGCAGTTGGAAGACATGGTAGGCCGAATTGGGAAAGGTCTCCCGTTCTGTTTCCAAGTGGGAAAAAGAATGCTTTTACCTTTGGCTGCAGTTTTACTTTCAGCTTCAGCTTTCCTGTTTTAAGTCTTAGTTTTGCTTTGGTTTTTAATTTTGCTTCAGGTTTTACACTTTTTGCTTCAGATTTACAATGTTAGCTTTACAGTTTTAGTTTTCGCCTTCGCTCAGGTTTTACTGTTTTAGTATTAGTTCTACAACGTTAGTTTTTCATATGGACAGGCAGGGAATGTCCCAAAGTCAAGATGGCAGCCGTGATTGTGTGATTGACATCTCCATACCGCCGCCCCCTTGATTATTTTGACCAACCCCTGCACACATCCCTGCCTGAATGACCCTCCCCCCTGCGCAGCCCAATTTCTACTGGCAATTTCACCTGGCAACAGATGCGCCTCCTCCAATTTGCTATTTTGAGTTCACTTTTTGCCTAAAAAATAAGCTGAGCTTTTTTCCCATCCTCTGACCAATCCTTTCTTTGGACTCCAGCTCCTTCAGCTGATCTCTAGTGCAACTGGGGGTCAGCAAGAAAAAATTGGTGGTCTGCAGAAAAATTATTTGCATTTTTTTATGTTGCACTAAATCAGGGGTCCTCAAACTACGGTCCCTGGATTGGATACATGCAATGAATGCTTGTGTTGCTGCAGAGAGTCTCCTCCTTCGGGGTCTTTTTGCGTGGGTTGGAGGGGGACAGAAATTCTGACTTGGGGTCTGCTTCAGCCTCCTGTTGAGGGGCTTTGGGCAAAGGCTGGAGGGAAGCACTGCTGGTGGCGAAGAGCCAGAGGGCCTCGTTCCAGTGGGACAGCATCGTGGCCTGGAACTGGCTGACCATCTCAGCCCGCTGAGCCTCCAGGCACCTGTACCTGACCATGCACTCCCGCAGGCCTTCCCTCTGCTTGGAAAGCCTATGCTCCTAGTCCTCGGTGAGGTGCTTCTGCCGAGCCTCCTTCTCGGTCAGATCCAATTTGAACTGAGCTGTTTTGCCAACTCTTTCTCCTGGTGGCTGCTCAGCTCTAGCAACTGCTTTCTATTGGGACCCTAAGTAGCCCGGCCGGGCAGGTGAGGAGTGGCTGGGAGGGGAGGGGTGAGTAGAGGCCGGCGAGGCGCCCCTCGACGTGAGTGACCTTCAGTTGGCCACACCCATCCAGTCACATGACCACCTAGCCACACCCACCCCCAGCCGACCATTAGGCAGATCCTATTAGTGGTCCGCGGGATTTAAAATGATGAATTTAGTGGTCCCTGAGATCCGAAAGGTTGGAGATCCCTCCTCCAGATGGCTCCAGGTGGGCCTGGACAAATCGGGACTTTGTAAGGAATTTGTAAGGAGAATTATGATTGTGAAGAAATTGATTTTTTTGGGGGGGGGGGAAGGAAAGGAGCTTTGATTTTGTATCTAACAAAGTTTTGAACTGGAAGAAGGAGACTTCA